ATTCACTGTCACCAAACAAAACCTAAAGCACGATTAGAAGACGATTCTTTGGATTTTTAGCGAATTGCTCGAAGATTTTCCTAAAAGTGTCATAATGGACAACATCCAAGTGGAATGTTTTTTACTTCTCTATGGATTCCCCGATAAGGATTTGAGTTTTTCCTGGTGATCGTCATTATCAATATCACAAAATATAAACTACCTGTCATTTTTTAAAACACCTAGATCACAAGGTGCCTTCTATGATAACTCTCCTCTTAAAGCTTATAACTCACATTAAATTGTGTAAATAATGGATTTGCTCTTGTTCATCTTCAATAGGGCATAAATCTGTGAAGATAAGTACGAGACACTGACCTAGACTTGTTTTCGGGAACTTTTAAGGATCCACTTTGTAGTGTCCTTTATTATGGCAAAGCTTATGGTACCATCCGAATGGGTGGTATGCTGTAATGTTTCAATAAGGCTTGTTGTTGGTACAGATTTTTTTAGGCAAACTGAAAATGTTCCCAATTTCGTTTTTTAAAATACCTCTACCGCCATCTATCTTACTAACTCTACACTGAGAACTACGCAAGCTGTAAACAGTTCCAAACTCGAACCATGTTTACTAGCATGCTTTTGGCTGGCAGCCAATAACCCGCATCCACAACAGATGGCGTTAGTAGTACACGCGGAAAGTGTAGTATTTTGTTTATAAATGTCGTTAGTTTATTTTTAAATCGGAGCGTCTTACAAGTGTGCAAGGAAGATATGCCGCGCTGGCTGCAGCATTTCTATTACGTGCTTTTATCGGCCGTCCATCAGAGCTGGTTACGATCAAATCGGCATCGGTATTTACGATCTCGATTCGACACTCACTTGGCTTTTGAACTTATTATAGAAAGTATTTCGGGAATAATACAACGAATGTGAAATATTTTTAGGACAATAACTGAAATATTCAAACATTTTAGTTTATGTAAAGTGCCTAATAGGTTTGACGTATCAAATTAGGTGTAGCGAATAGCGAAGTGAATCATTGTAGTATCTTGTAGTCTTTTATTTATTTTAATATAAAATTACAAATATGTTATTAATATAAACGGAAAAAACTGAAAAGGAAAAGTCTTCAATTCTTCATGCGTTACACCTTCTCACCATAACTACGTAATGACTACGGATCATCGTAGACCCCCGCTACGACGCTACGTGTGGCCGCAGCTACGATGCTACGAAAAAGGTGCTACGAAAGTGGGCCTCTAAACGTTTGCCCATAAATGTAATGAAGAAATGATAATAAAATAATTTTATTTAATTGCTACATTACATATATTAGAAACTAAATTAGTAAATGTTTTACACACAGAATTTAAAAAAAATACAAAAAAAAAGAAAAATAGTTGAAATAATCCATGCTTACTACTATTAAACTTAAATGTGAAACTCTGTTAGTATGTTTTTCTTTACGCTTAATCAGCTGAATCGATAAAGATAAAATTTTATAGGTAAAGAGATAGTTTGAGTCCCGAAAGGACAGTTTCAATCCTATAAACCACCTTTTAAGGGCGTGAAAAGGGGGATGGAATGGGGTATGATGGTGGTATGGGAAGTTAATAATTTCAAATGAGCTGTAGAGATAGTTTATGACCCAGGGAAACGTATGTAGCTAATTTTTATCCGTTTTTTTTTGGAAGTACGCGATAGATTTTCTGTAATAGACCGCAAATCACGTGGGCGAAACCACAGACAAAAGCTAGTATCTCTACAAATTCTTTTGACCGCAGGCTGTGGGCTATTGACCCAGAAGAGCGGATGGTGTTATGACCGTACCAGTTGAGCAAAGTAACAGTAAAATATTTTCAAATTTGATTTGTTTTTCAGTCCATGGGAAAGTTTCTTGTTAACGCGTTCGATGCTCGGGCATGAGCTGGCAGGTAGTGACGCGAATTGGTAGAATACATCGATATAAAAGTTTAGATTTAGATTATATTGGTCTACTTATGATACCTAGTTAGTTTGGATTAATAAATAATAAATTTAGACCTTTAAAAAACTATCTAAAAACTGCTCGACATAGCATTTTTTTTACAAATTACTACTCTATCTTTTGAAGAAAATTGTACTTGTAAATTATTGATGTAGATTCAGAATGGAAAAGACCAATCTATTAAAATTGCCACTTGACTAAGATGATAACTTAATTAATCTCATCTGCTGTAATGACACGAGTACGACTTAGGTATAATGCCTGAAGCCCAATAATTCGTCCTTTTAGGTTATTTGTTACGGACTAACGGTCGTTACTTAGTTATACGAATACTTACATTACAAACAAAAACTGTAAATCGTACTGGTCTTACTTCTCTACATGTCTAGGAAAAAATTAAGATGAGATGTTCCACGTGTCAATACTTTCTATAATTTGATTGATTAATTGCAAGGTCATGTCGATAGTTTCCCAACAGCACTACGGCCGCTTGTTTTTATAACGCCAATGATAAATGTTTCGATATATTTTTAAACGTCTTTGTTTTAGATCTTTGTTACTACATCGGCTGCGCGGGCGCCGCGGAATGCGTAGTGAAATGAGCAGCATAAGAGCGAACGCTGATGGGTGCGCACTTTGTTGAATGCTTTTCTTTTTGCCCGACGCTGAAGAAAGTAAACTTATGTTTTGATGACTGTTCCTTTGACTTCGCACTGACTGAAGTCACAGACGAATTTAAAATTTCAAATGCCTAGTTTTTTAGGTAAAGATTAAGGTCGTATCTTTTCCTTACTAAAGGAGCGTTTGACCCAAGAAACCTTCGTAGAGTCAGACTTATTAAAACCGTTGTAATTCATCTTCATATTAGCTGGAACTATGTATAATACCTAACATTATACTTGTAGTTTGTATTGTTTGTCCATACATCTTTATTGGATTATCGGAAATAAAACAGTATTTTAGTCATTTGGGACATTTTTGGTTTTTGTGATAAGAAAATAACCGTATTGTAGCATATATCAATGTTCTGTAATCTTCTCTCCTATTTTAATCAAGATATTAGATCTCTTTTAAATAGGTCTTTATTGTAATTTGACCCACGCCAAATGTTCGCGTGATGTAATTACTGGTTATTGTTTAATGAGAGCTGTTAATTTGTTGTCAGCTGCCGTAATTGTTGTGAATAATCTGCGCTGGAATGTTCTGTTTTAAAGAAACCTACGTATTTTCGCTGAAACATTGATACATTGTGTAAATATCGGGGAATGATGGAGAAAGAGCACCGTGGAAATGATTAATGTGACTAAGATTTAATGGCAGAGCTTTACTTATTACTTTATCTGAATTGTAAAAACTCATTACTTGAATCAACAAGACATACCTACCTACTCTTTATTTATTAATTTAATTTGACTGTCCTAAATAAATAGAATAAAAGATAAACTTACAGAAATGAAATACCTAATATTAATTAAAAACAAGTGCTAACTACAGTCTCACAACTACTTAAGTATAAGGTACAACTTATAAGGTTCTTTTTTATCGCTTGATCTTCATAAAAATCTCGTCCAAAAGGTCAGATGCGGTGGAAATTATTGAGCCTTGCTTGCCCAGAACTTGCCTATGAGGCCAAAACCAATTCACCGTGATTTGATTTGAGCAGATAATGTCTGCCTTTTACCCATAAATATTGCTTATTTCAGTATGAAATCCACCTAATCCAACTTAAAAAAAACAATATGTATGTAGATTTACATACAATTTAATTGAGTAATGCTGGTAATGCCCTTGTCACGAGACNATTCATTATACACATATTTTCGACTTTGCCGAACATTTGCACGAGAACGGTTTGTTCAAAACATATGAATTTGGTCTTATTTAATGCAGGATTAAATGCCCTTCAAACGTCAGGAAGGCCACTTTTCGATAGGGTAAGTCCTTTACGCGGTATAACCGGAAAACCGAAAAAGCGCACTTTTCGGGGGCCCCCACCACTTAAGCACAACTCCGTTGAAGTCGAAAACCTAGGAGAGTCTTTATGGGCAACTAATGAAGCCATTAAAGCACTAACATCTTTAGTACGAATTATTTCCGATTTAATTCATTTTTGTGTTTAATTCTACTGGCCTATAATTGTTGTGAATAATCTGCGCTGGAATGTTCTGTTTTAAAGAAACCTACGTATTTTCGCTGAAACATTGATAAATTGTGTAAATATCGGGAAGTGATGGAGAAAGACCACCGTGGAAATTTTAATGTGACTAATATTTGATGGCAGATATTTATTTATTACTTTTATTTGAATTGTAAAAACTTTTTACTTGAATCAACAAGACATACCTACTTACTCTTTATTTATTAATTTAATTTGACTGTCCTAAATAAATAGAATAAAAGATAAACTTACAGAAATGAAATATCTAATAATTAATTTAATTATCGCTTGATCTTCATAACAATCTGCAGGTGAAGGGTGCAGATGCGGTGGAAATTATTGAGCCTTGCTTGCCCAGAACTTGCTTATGAGGCCAAAACCAATTCACTATGATTTGATTTGAGCAGATAATAGCCCTGTCTGCCTTTTACCCATAAATATTGCTATTTATTTCAGTATGAAATCCACCTAATCCAACCTAAAAAAAAAACAATATGTATGTAGTTACATACAATTTAATTGAGTAATGCTGGTATCTTGTCACGAGACATTACATTTCAAACGCAAATTAATTACTCTGATAAGTAATTTAATGGTATCAGACAATGTCGCGCCGATGCGCAGGTGTACAGAAGTATGTCACACATAATCGCTGCGTCTTATTTGTGTCAGTCGTGACACATTTCCGATACAATGGCCTATTAATAGCCATTGGAGCCGTTTTTAGTCATTCGAGCGCATGACTTCTATTTATAGTGCGAGGATACCGAAGGGCTGGGCCTTGACCATGGAGCGGCGGCGGGGCTCCGGCGTGGTCAAGGGACGCAGGGCGCAGGCCGGGCGGGCGGCGGGCGGGCGCGTGGGCGGCGCGTTTGTTTACGGCGGCAGTCCCGCGCCGAGCCGCCGCCAGCGCCGGTCCGCTGCGCGAGCGCACCCTATATCCAGTTCACGGCCGCTCTATTAACGGACGGCTATTTCGGCGCATAATATACTGAACGGTGCGGAGCAGTGTTCAGTTTCGCGCGGGCAGGTGCGCGGGCCGAGGTCGGGAGATGCGAGGGAGGCCCGACCCCGTGTGACGCCATGGAGCGCCGCCGCCGCCCCGCCCGGCTCGACGCGCCCGACCCCATGACGAAGGTGGCGCGGCGCCGCGAGCGCCCGCGCGAGCGCTGGCTGCTCACGCGCAAGACATGGAAGTACATGTCGGACGCCGGGCGCCGGCTCGTGCCCGACGGCGCGCAGAACCGGCCCGAGGACGTGCCGCGCATCGAGGCCTACTTCCAGGAGGTGTGCGCCAAGGAGCCGCGCTTCCTGCTGTGGCGCAAGAGCTCGTACCCGGGCGCGCTGCCCAAGCCGCGCCGCAAGAAGCGCGCGCGCGGCGGCTCCGTGCGCGCGCGCTCGCCCTCCGACGACGCCGCGCCCGCGCGCCCCACCGACCTCTACATCCCGCACACCTCCGGCGGCCGCTTCGACATCGCGAAACTCCGGCGCGACTTCTTCGCCGCGCCGCCCTCCACGTCCGCCGGCTACCACGGCTCCAAGTTCGCGGCGCCGCGGGACGCCAGCGGGCCGGCGCCCGTCGAGGACGAGGAGAGTAATCTAGTCGATTTGCTGAGAAAGTACCTGAAATTAGAGGAGAATACGGGAGTGACTAAAGTATCGGACAACGAGGAGTTAGTGCGTGTGTTGAGACGGTACCTGAAGCGGCAGGCGGACCAGGTGCCGCCCGGCGACGCCGACACCGACCCCACGCAGCGCAGCCTGCTCGAGAACCTCGGCCGGTACTACTGCCGCTCGCCGAACAGGGAGCACATAGTGCAGGACCTGCTGACCGACAGGAACCTGTTGAAAAGACTGTATCATGACCTCCGTAAAACGAAGCCGTACCGCGGCAGCCGCGGCGGCGGCGGCGGTGGTTATGGACCCAGTGGACTCACGAGTGCTTCTCATTCTAGCAGAAGTTTACTTCGTAGTGGAAGTGTTTACGGCTCGCGAGCGAGCGATGGCGAGGACTTGCGGTCACCGCCGATGTCGCCGCCGCCGCTCATCGAGGTGTTCAGTGAATCCCTCGAGGACAAGTTCGTTGATTGTGGGACTCAGACAGTGCCGATTCCTGAGGAAGTGTTGTTGGAGATCGAGCGGTCGTACCGGGATAAGATGGAGGCGGCGACGGCGCCGACCAGCCCGACGAGCCCGCCGCCGGAGCGCAAGACGACGCGGCGGCGCTCCAGTGTGGACCACGACGACGTGTCGCAGTCGGTCAGCGACACCATCAAGCGGTACTTGAGGATGGCTCGCAAGAAGAGCGTGGACGCGGACAAAGCGGACCGCTTCAAGCGGATAAATTATGATAAGAACTTGCGGAACATAAAGCCCCGCGCGCCGGGGGAGGTGGACGACGACGGGCCACACAAGGGTTGTCAGACGGAGGAGGGTTGGATCCTGACGTATAGGGAGTTGCAATTCGCGTCGGTGGCGTCGACGCCGACGTCGCCGCCGTCGCCGTCGCAGCCGCACTCGTTCCTGGCGACGCTGCTGGGCCGCAGCGCGCCTACAGTGGCCCCGCCCGCAGGTGGCATGCAGAAGTCGCGCTCGTCGTCCAGCGTGGTGCAGAGCGTCAGCAAGCGGCTGTGGCGCACGCGCAGCCGCAGCTCCAGCCGCGCCGCCGCCGTCTGGACGCCTCAGGTCAGTCGCACTGGATACTCAACCCTACAACTCACGACAGTTTATACCTAAACCGGCCCAGTCTTGACTTACCCAGTAATATTAAACAAGCGATGTTTGACATCCCATAAGCTACAACCACACGCGATGGCGATCTGCACGCGTTGGTGTGGTTGAAGCTTTATAGAGATTTAAATAATTTTAACACTGCCACAATTTGGTACAATAATGTAGGACCCTGTTTTAACAGACAATTTCGTCAAGATTTGTCGAATATGATCTATACTTAACATATATTTTTGTTATAAAAATGTGCAAAAATCAAGAGGTAAACGTGTCCTGAGTTTTTGGTTTGTGGTTATGTTTGCGCTTCTTAATTTTCTTATTTGTTTGTTGTGATGTGCATGCTTTTATGTTAGTAAACGGATTGATTAACCAGCCATGGCCACTGTTTGAATAGCGAACGTATATGCCCTATGTTTATACTTATGTACCAGTACCTACTTATTATCTTCCAGTAGCTTTCGGCCTAAATGTCTGAACAATCTTAAAAATGCTATAGAAAAGTAGAGCATAGAGCTCCTAAATACCTATATGCGCTTCATGTGTTAACGACGTTTACAATAATAATGTAGGTAAATGTATTACAAGGAACTGCGTCTAGCGTCTTTTGCTATATTTCAAAACTGATCCATTTTGACAAGCAGCAATAAAAGTAAGCTTTCCGTGTTATAATTTATAAATACGAATAACACGGAACTAAAACTGAATTACAATGTGCAGACTCTATAACACATCCTTTCTTCTGGGAAAATAAATATGCCCGTAAGTTTAGCACACTTCCATGACCTATTTTTCTTCACAAACATAATGTGAATCTCTGCTTGAGCACGCCTACATTAATAATAGGCTCTCGAGATAAATGCTCTCAACGACTAAAGATGTTTTATATTAGTCAACAAGAATTAATAAAAAGCATGAGTTGACAAAAGTATCTACATTTAAAATAATAAATTGTTTCAATTATCACACTAATGTGCCCATATCTACTTGTTTTAAAGAGGCAAGTGAAATTAACTATGATGATAAATAACGGACTCAGCAAGCTACTTGCTTTGACTCGAACCTGGTACGTGGTAAAAAAGCTCGCTGTACCAAGCGACTATAGTTAAAATGACTACCAACAGTTGGTTAGACTCCACCGACCCTACATGTTATGGTTCTACCATCCCATGGGTTAACGTACCCTCGAAAACACGGAATTAGATATCTTATCAGACAATCACACACAACATTGTCCTGACAAACAATCATCATAATGTCCTGACAAACCTGGTAAGAAAATGATTTTAAATGATGTTTATCAAGCACATATTTATTTATTATTTGAAAACTTTATATTGCACATAAAAATGCAGTACAAAAGGCGACCTTAATGCCGTATGGCATTCTCTACCAGTAGACCTTTTAGCCAATCGAGAGAGTTTAACTCTAGCTATTGTACTCGTACTTCGGATGCTTTGCGTTCAAAACTTGGCACGTAAAGCATTGTTTTCCGATACAATATTCATAAAAAATAATTAATGGCTTGTTTAGATTAATATTGAATGTTTCCGAGAATTTAGTAAGTTTGAGTTTTTCCGCGGCCTTCGCGTTAGGCGAGAAATAATTTGGACATACGACGGCACGTCAAGCTTTACACTGTGCCATCTTACGTAGTTGTAATAGAGGCGATTTTGCTACAAAAATGTATAGTCTGATGTGCTGTCTGTACGTACCACATTATTTTTGTTGCGGAGCCGGCAATTTGTGTTGTAAACACCGCTGGTTGGATACGAGGCGCTTTGAAACTTTTAGTCCGGACTTTGCTCTGTTTATCTATTTAACACTCAACAATGAGAAACTTTTCTCCTGTAAACATATCAATTGTTTTCTGGCTATTTTTCTATTGTTAATGTCAGTTAAAGTGACCTTGACAGCCGAATGCCTGGTGATTACGGGACTATTCCCACCTCTCGTTACCACCGCTTCAACTCCTGTGTAGCCAGGATCATCAATTTTATTGTTTTCTGGCTATTTTTTTATTGTTAATGTCAGTTAAAAGTGACCTTGACAGCCGAATGCCTGGTGATTACGGGACTATTCCCACCTCTCGTTATAACCGTTGCAACTCCTGTGTAGCCAGGATCTACAGCTTGACCGCCAATGAAAACCCAACCAGTGAATGCTGGTTGGTGCGGTCCAGACCACCACTCTAGTTTTTAGAATACCGTCCTTTTGAGGTCAAATGTATGATGATGTTCATTACTGATAGCTGATAAACTGATTGCCATAAGCCCCACTACTTAAATAGTCAATTATTATTATAACATGTTTATTTTTTTATCTTTTTGCCTCACTGAGGCCAAAAGACAATACTGTCTACTCGAGTAATTTTTAACCCACCATTTAAAAAACCCGTGATTTTACTTCAGCTTTTTTATATTATTTTCTTCAACATGTTTTAAATACCTAATCTAAATGTCTTGAATATTCATAGTGTAATTTGGATGTTACTGTAGAGATTATTTCAAATCAACACGCGCTATTTTCCTCTCTCCTCGTGCTTTCGGCTCTGAAACAAACCCAGTAGGCGGCCCGAGACGACGCATATTTTACAACTGCGCGTGACTCAGGCGCAGACTTTTCCCAGATTTTTGTGAAAACAGATGCTCGGACAAACTTTCGCTTTTCATGTAATAAATACAGGGTGGTGGATAGACTCATAAGATAAGAGGCGACAATAACCCAAAGGTTTTGGTTATATCGGACTGCCGATATGAGAGGTCGCTATGTACATAGGGCGATAATACTCATAACACAAGTATGTACACATTTAACTTACCTAGTAGGTTCACCGGGATATTTGTAATCGGTAGATCACAAACTAGTAATCTGTCTAAACATTACTAAATAAGCAAAATAAAATGTATCATAAACTGTCACCATTGCTTTCTTTTCAATGGCTGTGCGAGTCTCATCTTTAAAAACCAAGAACAGATAAAATGAAATGTATGAGACTAAAATTATTTAAGTTATGTATATTATATTGTATTGTTTACCTAATGGTTGTTGAATGAGTAAAAATTATACTGACTGAATAGAACCGACGTAAATATTTTTATCAAGTTGTAGAATGTTTCATTTCGTTAAAATATGTGACGTCTATCGTTGGCCCACCCTGTATAAATTTCATAATTATAATAATATGTAACGTGTCAACGTCTCCATTCCTATAAATTTTATGATTTAAGAGTGTCCGTTCACAAATTCTAACAGGTCTATTAGTGTTTTGCTGACTTCATAATGGCTAAGCCGTTGGCCTGTGACTTGGCCTACTTATTTTCTCGTGTGTTAAATAAATTGATGTTTTGAAGTAAATAACATCCGTTTATAATAATCTTCTTTATAAATAAAAAGGAATGCTGTTCGTTAGTCTGATTAAAACTCGAGAACGGCTGAGCCGATTGAGCTGATTTTGGTTTTAAAATGTTTGTCGTAGTCCAGGGTAGGTCTAAACGGTGAGCAAATAAGGAAAAATTGCGATGGCTTATTTATTGCCTTTAAGGCGGAACAGAGTTCGCCGGGTCAGCTAGTTTGGAATACAAATGATGCTACTCGTATGTTATGTAGAGCGATCATAATGAATTTTCCTATTAATACATAGGTACTTAATGACAGAATATTTTCCTTAGAGCAAGAAGCTTTGTTATTAACCCGATCATTATCAATTTGTAGTCGGTTTAGTGACTGTTTACGAGTGTTAAAACTTTTTACTTCATTTATTTTTTATTTAATTTTATTCTGCAGGTCCTAATAAAGTACACAAATACCTGTTTAAGTGCATAATTAAGGCTTTATGGGATGCATTAGGTACTTAGGTATCCTCTTAGATTCAAGATGGACTACGAGTATACATATGTTAAAATTGGTGTGCTTATTGAAACAATTTTGTATTTTTGTATCGTAAACAGTATATTTTGTACCTATTGATATTCCTTGAAGACACCGCGTTATTTTCGAAGTTTTCTTGACACTAAATCTTGACCTTGGCCATACATTCACTTTACGACTTCAAGAACGAGGGTAATGTTGAGGAAAACGATCGTTATCAACGGTTTTCGGAACTGTCTTGTTGTTGTTATTTGTTTTATAGCACGCATAGCAACTAACAGGCATTGAGTTATAATGTACTACGTAGTAATATTACTTCAATGCTAACAGGTTGTTTTATTGGACTTGTATTAATCCATAAATAGAATCTAATAGTTCAATGTGTTGCTAAGCGCCAAGTAACTCGACAACGTTGATTTTTTCAAATATTTGCTGTAAAGGACAGCTGCTTGGGCGGGTCAGCACGGAATACAAAATTTGTCAAAATCAAGGAGCTTTATTGGGCCCAAAATGCCATGACAGTATCAAAAGTTTGTGATAATACAAGCTTTAAACAAATGGTATAAAAAGGTTTAAAAAATATAGACAAACTATAAAAATGGGTCTCCCATTGGTTCCCAACATTTGCTATGCTCCGAGGAGGGTAAAACGAGCAATGTAGTTACCTCTTGATGTTTGTCCTATTCCGTAACATTTTTACTAACTGTGAGATTTTGTGTGTAATTTATTACAATGTTTTGCACTTTTTTAATTGAATATGTTTGTTTGGCGAAGTCTTGCATGTTGTTGGTTATGTTATAAATGCGTGATGTGTGACGTTATTAATGTTTTATGCTGTAATAAATATACTTTTGTCAATACTTTTAAATTAAGGGCATGCTATTATCACATGTTTGTCAGTAGAAGTATTTGTTATTACAATGTTTTAAGTTGTCAGTTCATATTATGAGCTGCTAGCCTGCTATGGACTAAGCTTGTATGCTAATAATGCGTCTCGAAAGTATCTTAATTTGAGTATCACGCTTTTCAGAAATCATGCCTTTCATCGTGTTGTTACGCTTACACGTTACACTCATAGTAGCGTTTTATATCAATCACGCCAGCGAGTAGTATCGCGCGTGTGCAGTATCGCTAAAACCAGCGTGCAGTATCACTAACACTTCATTATCACGCGTATGATTATGTAGTATCATACACTCAAGCTTGCAGTCTCATATATCAATGTATGTGACTATGCATATGCGTGCGTGCGTGCAGTACCTACTTATCTCTCTATCACGTGTAGTGTCATTAATTTAATCGTGTAAGTAACCGTGCACGTAACTAGGCATATAACTCATACTAATCGTGCAGAATCATGCATTATGTGCAGTATCTCTAACACTATACTGATCTCAGTGTGCAGCAATGGTTCCACCAGCGCGCAGTATGTCGGTGTGATAACGTCACGCGTTATGTGCAGGGCAGCTGTTGCTGGGTAGACGGCAGCGGGCGCTGCGTGCGCAGGCCCCTCTTTCCCACTGGGCACTTGGGCACGTGCCCAGGGCCCCGCGACTGAGGGGGCCCCCATCTGCTAATAAGACCTTTTTCCAGATGATAAGGGCCCCCCTTAATCCTTAAAATCTTTAAATGCCCAGGGCCCCTAGTAGGTTAAAGACGGCCCTGCGTGCGGCTGTCGGACACGTCGCTGAAAGGCTGAGCGAGTCTCTAACTAACACTAGCGTTTGTAACTCTCCGTCCTATGCGTCCGCCAGCAGTATGTCGGTGTGATGACGTCACGCGTTATGTGCAGGGCAGCTGTTGCTGGGTAGACGGCAGCGGGCGCTGCGTGCGGCTGGCGGACACGTCGCTGCGCGCTCAGCGAGTCTCTAACACTAGCATTTGTAACTCAGTGTGCAGTAATGCATCCGCCAGCGCGCAGTATGTCGGTGTGATGACGTCACGCGTTATGTGCAGGGCAGCTGTTGCTGGGTAGACGGCAGCGGGCGCTGCGTGCGGCTGGCGGACACGTCGCTGACGCTGAGCGAGTCTCTAACACTAGCGTTTGTAACTCAGTGTGCAGCAATGGGTCCGCCAGCGCGCAGTATGTCGGTGTGATGACGTCACGCGTTATGTGCAGGGCAGCTGTTGCTGGGTAGACGGCAGCGGGCGCTGCGTGCGGCTGGCGGACACGTCGCTGACGCTGAGCGAGTGTCTAACACTAGCGTTTGTAACTCAGTGTGCAGCAATGCGTTCGCCAGCGCGCAGTATGTCGGTGTGATGACGTCACGCGTTATGTGCAGGGCAGCTGTTGCTGGGTAGACGGCAGCGGGCGCTGCGTGCGGCTGGCGGACACGTCGCTGACGCTGAGCGAGTGTCTAACACTAGCGTTTGTAACTCAGTGTGCAGCAATGCGTCCGCCAGCGCGCAGTATGTCGGTGTGATGACGTCACGCGTTATGTGCAGGGCAGCTGTTGCTGGGTAGACGGCAGCGGGCGCTGCGTGCGGCTGGCGGACACGTCGCTGACGCTGAGCAAGTCTCTAACACTAGCATTTGTAACTCAGTGTGCAGCAATGGTTCCGCCAGCGCCCAGTATGTCGGTGTGATGACGTCACGCGTTATGTGCAGGGCAGCTGTTGCTGGGTAGACGGCAGCGGGCGCTGCGTGCGGCTGGCGGACACGTCGCTGACGCTGAGCGAGTCTTTAACACTAGCGTTTGTAACTCAGTGTGCAGCAATGGTTCCGCCAGCGCCCAGTATGTCGGTGTGATGACGTCACGCGTTATGTGCAGGGCAGCTGTTGCTGGGTAGACGGCAGCGGGCGCTGCGTGCGGCTGGCGGACACGTCGCTGCTGACGCTGAGCGAGGTGGAGCGGCGCGCGCTGCAGCAGGCGGCGCTGGCCAGGCTGCAGCAGATCAACCTTGGGACCACTATCAAAATTCCAGAGGGTGAGTTCATTTGTGAATCATTCTATTTGTATACTAGGCTATGGAGCAATGTTTATTGTCTACGCCTACTGACTAGCGCCCGTTCTTTGGGAACCTGATTTTACAGTCAGCGTCAAACAGTTCATGACACCTAAATAAAAGTACCTAGCCAAGAAAGTTCGCAACACGTCTTTGTCACAATTATTAGAATAATGTTGTCTTGTCAAATTTTTGGCCACTTTGGTTGTCACAAACTACTTATTTGATGCTGTTTGTATGTGACGTATAGGTATGTACCCGTGACGTATCTTCTATCGGAATAGGATAGATCTTAAGATTTGCTTGCGATAAAGATTAAGGTCATGCTAATGATGATGAAAATTCGTAGCACAAATAAAAACCCTCGTGTTACACATACAACCGTTTAAAATAAATATTTTGATCAAATAGCATCTAAACCAGCACGTGATGTGAAGCAAATTAATGGATACGTTAATCTGGGAAATTTTGCTTGTGAGTGTAGAGATCTTATCCTCACCCATATAAAACTCCATCCATTTCTCTCGCACACTCACCGAAATGTATCTACTGAACAATAATGATACGATACAAACAAACAGAACTACAGCTAACTATCTGACATTGTAGCGCGCTGACTCAGGTCAGCCTGAATAAAAAATAGCGAGTGACTCACGCACCCTCATTGAAGATTGGCAAAGCTGATAAACTTGCATTTATTCACTGCTTGGCTCCTTAGTACGTGGTTGTTAAAAAGTTAGGCTTGCAGCATTTGCAGTCAGGGGTCTGATTTAATTTTTTTTAAATGGCAACCAAACCTCGTCGAGGAGGTTTATTTCTGCCAATGTCGAGTTAACTGATTTGATATAATCATACAATATAACATGGGTNCTGACGCTGAGCGAGGTGGAGCGGCGCGCGCTGCAGCAGGCGGCGCTGGCCAGGCTGCAGCAGATCAACCTTGGGACCACTATCAAAATTCCAGAGGGTGAGTTTATTTGTGCTCCATACTACAACCCGGTCAAGTAACTGCACACCTGGCGGCTGGGACGTCACATCGACGCTCTGGTACGGACGAGACTAACGCAGCGAGGTGTACAGTTAGCTCAATCGGGTTGTATGTAATTGTACACTAGGCTATGCAGACATGCTTATTGTATACGTAATGACTAGCGGTTTAAAAAGGCGAAGCGCGATGACTTGAAGGCCCGTCCATCTGCCGCCATTCACTATAACTATGTTGGCGGCGTGCTCAGATGCCCTCAATGCGCGAGGGGGTTTGCCGCGAAAATAGGCTACGTAAGCCATCTTCGGGCACACCAGCGCCGCCAAGACAGATAGGAGTCGGAGTGGTCGACATGGCCGAAATCGGTCGGATGGATCATCATCAATGACTAGCACCCGTTCTTTGGAAATATCTTTAAACACGTTTGTTATGTACCCGTGACGTATCTTTTTCGGAATAGGATAGATCTTAAGATTTGCTTGCGATAAGGATTATACTCATGCTAATGATCATGAAAATTCGTAGCACAAATAAAAACGCTCGTGTTACACATACAACCGTTTAAAATAAATATTTTGATCAAATAGCATCTAAACCAGCACGTGATGTGAAGCAAATTAATGCATTCGTTAATCTGGGGAATGTTGCTTGTGATTGTAGAGATCTTATCCTCACCCATATAAAACTCTACCCATTTCTCTCTGAAATGTATCTACTGAATAATAATGATACGATACAAACATAAACTGTCCTACACAGCTAACTATCTGACATTGTAGCGCGCTGACTCAGGTCAGCCTGAATAAAAAATAGCGAGTGACTCACTCACCCTCATTGAAGATTGGCAAAGCTGATAAACTTGCATTTATTCACTGCTTGGCTCCTTAGTATGGGGTAGTTAAAAATTTAGGCTTGCAGCATTTGCAGTCAGGGGTCTGATTTCATGTTTTTTAAATGGCAACCAAACCTCGTCGAGGAGGTTTATTTCTGCCAATGTCGAGTTTACTGATTTGATATAATCATACAATATAACATGGGTGTTTTAGTTCTATTGTTTTTTGTAAAGACATTCTCTTAAACGGGTTTTAAAACGTTATCGGAACTTTAGTTCGGGTTGCATGTTTACACGACAACTCACTCGACACTCGAAAATTTCTCGAATATGATTCTTACAGGGTCCTAGAGTTCCACACGTTGAGACGAAAAAAAACACCGTGTGATATGTTTTTCTTTCTTTTGCAAATCTAAAAAGATTTTTTTCATAAAATACTAGAAAACAGAACGAAACTAATTTAAATGACGCACTATGCGTAAATGTTCTTACCTCATAAATAACAGGTTCCACTAAAAGCTAAGTATGCGCAAACGCAGGTCGTTTTACGCCAGTTTACTATAAAGAGCGCTCGGGCTAATAGTTTTACGGCCTCGGCTATGAGTGATTCGAAACAGCATTAGGGCTGTCCTATAACTGTACTATTAATATTAAAAAGACGAAAAATTTGTTTGCTTGGATACTACATATTAAAAAGTTGAAAGAGTGTGTTTGGTTGAACGCGCTAATCTTAGGAATCTAAATTGAAAAAGTATTTTTGTACTGGATAGTCCATTTACCGAGGAAGGCTATAAAAATAAAAAATGCTGCTTATAAAGGAAGAAAAATAGCCAAAACTATTTACATGCGAAGTCGCGGGCACAGCTAGTAAATTATGTTCTAAAAACTAAGCCACAAATCAACACATTTTAAAACAGTTATTATTTATTATTCTGACTAGTCACCTCCCTAACTGTCCGCCTTTTAAAAGTTTAATTTAATTTAAAATGTAGAGGCGAAACTAGATTATCATCATTTATCTACTTAAAGAATAGTTTCACATTTTATTTTTTATTTAATAAGGCCTTGATATTGTTCCACGTTTCACAATTTTAAGGCCGTCTTTCATATTTAATAATGAAAGAAAAAACAATAAGTAGAGCGCTGCCAACAAATGAGAACCCGGAAAATGCTGTAACTGGCGTGTATCACAAGTTGTAAGATTAAAAGCTTTTAAATATTACTACTGACATAGCCCGCAGAATCGCTTAAATCAAGTGGCAGTGGGCGGGGCACATAGCTCGAAGAACTGAGGGCCGCTGGGGCATGAAAGTTCTTGAGTGGCGACCATGAGCCGGAAGACGTGGCGTGGGCAGGCCTCCCACTAGGTGGACCGACGATCTGGTGAAGGTCACGGGAGGTGCCTGGATGCGAGCGGCGCACGGCCGGTCTTTGTGGAAATCCTTGAGGGAGGCCTTTGTCCAGCAGTGGACGTCTTTCGGCTGAAACGAACAAACGAAAATATTACAATAGTCTTAAAAAAACTAAAGCAAGTCGTAAATTATAAAGTACCTACTTATGAATAGGTAAAAGAGTATACAAATGACGAAATGTGACGCCAAATAGAATGGTCTCGAGTTGACTTCTGTTCGCCAGCCAAATCAATACATGTCAATTACGAGCACGGCGCCTGCGGTACAAAAGCCAAGCCCTGGGGAAACCCGGACAAGTGACAGCCCTGGGGCAGACGAGACTCGTTGTGAAACTTGGTGGCGTGCCAGTCGCGTACAGTCACCCGCAGTTGCCAGTTTAATTCTCCTTTATTACTATTTTAATAAGGACGAGATTTACCTTCGATTTTGGTTCAGACAGGAGTGGAAGATGGAAACTTATGCGAATCCAATAAAACCGAAAATTAAATGCACTTATTGCTTTCATAAAATAAGAATGTTATTAAACACTTGATGGCTCTTTTGCTTTGGATATAAGGAAGTATAGTAGATCATCTCGCGATGACTGTACTACCGAACTGGCGGAAAGTGGTTCATAGTACTTCATAGTTTATTGTTGTTTAAATGAAGCGTTAGATTTAGTTTGGTTAGTAGAACTTCTGGAATTTCTTGAGATTATGACATAATTTGTATTAGTACACATATTCATATACTTACGTAGTCTTTGGGTGACTGTGATTCTGTAATACCGAAATTCAGGACCCCGATTCATTCTACCCCGAAAGAACGCTACTGATTCCGAATATTCTTAGCCCGAATGAATGCACACTAGAATGTATTGGAACATACTTGGGGTCCATCTCTTAAGTGTTTTCTATGTTTATTGTATTTTCAAAAACAGATTTAAGTATATTGTAAAATCTAAGCTTTGCTCATAAAATGTCCATGTCATTTTTTATTACTGAGAAGAAACAGTTGTTTTTCGTATTAGCTAAAATGCTTCGGCCCTCAACCCAACACCGGCGGCTGTCGGATGTGGGTTAAGACGTATTGACGTCCCTTCGGACTCCCTTCTGTCACTTGGCACTGCAATAGATTGCAACATGATGCTTTGGATATTTTCGAGCTCAAATGTAAATTCAACTTCAGTAACAAACAAATACTACTAGTTGCAACTTGCTATCTGTGTCTACATAGAAACACTTCGGTCGCAAAACCACTAGAAGCCGTCTGAATATAGACTTCAGAGAGAAGTCAGTCGTTAAATGTAAGATACTGGCTTTAACAACGTATTTTAACAAACGTAATTTTTATTTGCCTACTTTCAAATTGTCAATTCTTTAAATAAAAAAAAAACAACAGATAAGTAAAACAATGGCAGAGTTGCACTTAAAAAGGGGCTCTACATGACGCGTGGAGATCGTTTTTCCCTACTACTTCGGAAAAGCTTTGGAAATTCGAATGTCTTGATAAACCAGTGGGTAGCAATTCCATCGCGTCACGAAGTCTGCATGCCAATAGACAGAAACTAATAAGTATCGACACCCACCAGCATTCGCTCGACAGACATGCATGATCGATGTGTCACTCAAGCCAAAACATGGAGCCCTATTTCTGGCCCACGCCGAAAACTCCGGCAAAACGTAAAATGCAACAACCTCGCAGGTGACCCACTCGACAATGGGCTATTTTTGCGCGCGAAATGCCGGGCTATTTTCAAAATGGCCGCTAACGC